GAAAATAGAAAGAGTGCTCCGACAGAAGAGGATGGATGTGACTCGAGTAGTGAGATACAACGTAGGAAAAATCCTGAACAATTTTAATATTTTTAATATTTAATATTTATCAATATATATGATAAATATATATTTTAATTATTTTAATATGAAGACGACAAGGCATGCAGTGAACTAGTTTAACGTTAATCGAATAAGCACCTGAAGATGGCACTTTTGTGCCGTAACATGTAGTGCGAGAGAGAGGAGTGAGGTAGATAAGTGTATGCACTAGAAGACGGTGAAACAAATCATGGACTTAAATCAGTGCAACAGGACGCTAAAATGTAACATTTTTAATATTCTCACTTGTAGTACTGACTATCAATGGGGTTTTGGGTTGGATATTTGATTTATTGACCACATTAACACACAACTCATAATTACACTTAATTATAGTTCTGTCGCCAATTTCAACACTACAGTTCACTAGAGCGCACACTAAATTTTCTTCAGCCTGCAGTGTCTTCACTAGACGTTTTCCGGTAACGGGTTCTAACATTAGCTGTTTCCAGGCTGAAGTCCTCCATGAATGGCAGCTGCCTTCGTACTGAACTGTTCTTGCTTCAGTTGTCCTCCTTATAACCTCTTTGCATGGCTAAAGCAGGAAACACTGTTTTCAACAGTGCCCATATTATTGCATGTGTATCCGTTGCCACAGGAATGTGTTTACTGAGCTACATATCATGGCAGTATGTGTACTATTCTACTACTCAGTTATTTGATGAATCATTTTAATTTTCTTTTATTTTCAATATTTTTTATTGAGTAGGTATGGAATATGTAAACTTGAAATTTCTGTATCCTGCACTTCAGTAGTCAATCCAAATATGTTGTAGGACCCATGTATGGAATATACATAGCGTCAGTGGTGGAAAGATCAATATGCTGGGAGGTCACAGTATCAGTTACTCTAATCAAAAAGAGTGTATATGTGTAGTATGCTGAGGTATATCTATTTCATGCTGTCTCCCACATAAAGGAACGTCAGGATGCTCTGAGATGAGCAACACACCATCTCATGCAGGTTGAAAAGTGCATAGATGTTGGTGGTATTTTAAAAAAATGTATTATAGTAGGTAAACTGTATGAATTTTGTCACTTGAACAATAAATACCGGTATTAGGATCGGTATACTATATCCTTTATCAACAATTTTGGAGCTGAAATTGCCACATGATGGAATGACGATATGTGGGGTTTGGATTGCTAATTGGATTTATTGGACTCTTAAACACACAACTCATGACTGCACTATTACACACAGACCGGTGTTCTCATTCAGTCTTCACTGCTCTGCTTGGTAGCTGCTTCGAGCACCGTAGCGCTCTCAGCTTCTGTGTCCAGTGGCTCCTGTCCTTCCTGGCTGGCACCTTCCAGCTGCAGCTCCTGAGCTTAACTGACTGACTTCCAATTGCCGAACTAACTCAATGCACAGTTGACTACTTATGTAGTCTCGGCATGGACCACATAGAAAACACCTCTCCCAAAAGTTCTATTGTTGCATCACATAGCTATTGGCACAGTCTGCATGGAGAACACTGCTTCCAAGTTAATCCACTGTTGGATGTTATGAAGGTGTTGTCTAGTAACGACTGTTTCTGTTGGCTTCACAGTTCTTGCACTAAGCAAATGTGTCGTACGTGGTGTGTTCAAAAAATGACGGGAATTTCCGTATTTTGGAAAAAATATTTATTCATTCGTCTACATTAATGTTGTCGCCTTCAAAATAGTCCCCATTCGATATTATGCACTTACGCCAGCGCTTCTTCCAATCATCGAAACACTTCTCAAACTCGATTTTTGGGATAGCCTTTAGCTCTTTCAGCGATGCGCTTTTAATGTCATCTATGCTTGTAAAACGACGGCCCTTTAAGGTTCTCTTTATTTTTGGAAATAGGAAAAAGTCACACGGAGCCATGTCTGGCGAATATGGAGGCTGGGGCATCGTTACAGTATTGTTTTTGGCCAAGAATTCACGAACAAGCAACGAAGTGTGAGCAGGTGCATTATCGTGGTGCAAAAGCCATGAATTGTTTTTCCACAAATCCGGGCGTTTTTTTCGGATTGCCTCACGCAAACGGCGTTGAACTTTCAGGTAGTACTCCTTATTGACCGTTTGACCTTGAGGCAAGAATTCATGATGCACTATGCCATTAAAATTGAAGAACACAGTAAGCATAACCTTCACGTTCGAACGCACTTGTCGAGCCTTTTTCGGTCTTGGCGATCCAGGATGCTTCCACTGAGACGATTGAGCCTTAGTTTCAACGTCATATCCGTAAACCCATGTTTCGTCACCTGTTATAACACGTTTCAGTAATTCTGCATCATCGTTGACTTCCTTTAGTGATTCCTGAGCAACTTCCATTCGCCGCTGTTTTTGTTCAAAATTCAGCAATTTTGGAACAAATTTTGCTGCCACGCGTTTCATACCCAAAACATTCGAAAAAATTTCATGGCATGAGCCAATCGATATGCCAACATCATCAGCGACTTCTCTGATTGTGATTCGGCGATCATTCATAATCATTGCTTTCACTTTTTCCACGTTTTCATCGGTTGTTGATGTGCTGGGGCGTCCGGGGCGCTCGTCATCTGCAACGTCTTCACGGCCATCTTGGAAACGCTTATACCACTCGTAAACTCTTGTTTTACTCATAACAGACTCACCATAGGCCTTTGTTAACATTTCACACACTTTGTAACACTTTATTTCATTTTTTACGCAAAATTTGATACAAATTCTTTGATCCATTTCTTTTAACAAACGAAAATCGCCAAGCTCATAAAAACACGTCTAACCTTAGCGGCTGCCACAGACAAAGTAAGCAATGAATACAGCTGAAAATTTTATTGTACTTCAGGGGCATGTATACCAACATAATAAAAAAAAATTTTGACAATTGGACTCTCCAAACCCGCGAAATTTTAAAATTCCCGTTATTTCCTGAACACACTTCGTATGTATATAGCTAGTGATTTGTTTTTGCATGTCAGCATGTCCAGTCATCATTGTAATTTGTACATTAAACGACCAGAGCTCAGTGTTAAAGGGCCAGATACACATCCCTCTTAAGTATTATTATTATTATTATTGGAGGGGGTGGGTTTCCCCATGCACCGCGACCAGTTGTTGATCTATTGTACGTCCCTCTTTGCTATTCTACCAGTCGCCATACCCTGCCAGTACTAGTGCTTGCTATCAGCCCCACTCAGCCAGCGAGTTCAGCCCCTCTACTGGCAATGGTACCCGATACTTCCCCCATCTACTGGAGGCATTGGAAATTGCTTGGGCAGGAAACTTTTTACCCAATTTTGCTCAGAGGTCTCCTAGAGACATGAGGATCTTTTACATGCCATAAATCTACGACTCGGGACCCACGGCTTAAAGTCCCTCCTGTAGGACTTGTTCCCTGGATTTTTCCACCCTTAAAAATTCCACGACCTCCGCCGGGTTTGAACCCGCGTACCTTGAGTCATGAGGTGGGAACGTTACCCCTAGACTACGGAGCCCGCTTCCCTCTTAAGTAAGGCATGTTGGCAGAAAGAATGTAAAACTATACTCCTCACTCCTGATATTTACATGTAGTGAAATTTAATTCTTATTTCTTGAATCTGGTATGAAATTTATAATAATTTTCTGCAGATCTTTGGACCAGTACAGCAAATACTGAGATTCAAAACGCTTGATGAGATCATTGAAAGGGCAAACAACACAGAATATGGTCTTGCAGCTGCTGTATTTACTAAGGACATAGACAAGGCAATACATCTGGTGCAGGGTATTCGTGCTGGAACTGTTTGGTGAGTATAAATTTTCTTTGACAGTTTGAAATCATATTGAAACAGAATGTACCTTCTCAGATCTAAGACAAGGTGTTCTGCTGTGTTGTATGAAGGATGAGGCATTGTTTAAAATGTGTTTAGTGCTGTGGCAGTTGATTAGGAGGGACATCTGTTGGTCTGTTGTACTGTATAGTCAGTATATGGTTATTAAAGCTGCGAAGTGCTGCTTCTGTGTCAAAATAATGCAGAGAGATAGCTGATGATTTACATTCCACTTTTCTATAATTGGTTGTTGTGATCTGACGTGATGATATATTGTAGTTTGTGATCTGACGTGATGATATATTGAAGGTATTTTATAATGGCACAATATCATTTTCTTTTATCACATGAAATAAGTACTAGGTGGTTCAAATATGACCGGGACTGATTTAAAAAAAAAACATAATTGCCAAACACTTACTTTACCATGTCAGTCTTTAACGTACTCCCCTCCGGAGTCAACACATTTTTTCCAACTTTCTGGAAGCATCCTGATGCCAAAAGAAAAAAAAAAGACCTGTGGTTGGCGGCGTATCCACTCCCGAACAGTCTGGATGACGGTGTCATCCACAAACCAGATGCCTTGCAAGTCTGATTTGAGTCTTCCGAACAGGTAGAAATCACTTGGTGCCAAATCGGGACTGTACGGCTGATGTGTCAGAAGGTTCCATTTCAATTTCTGAAGGGTTTCCATTGTTGTTTTGGCCGTATGGTTGTGTGCATTGTCTTGAAGGAAGGCTACCCGCTTTCCACCTGTCTTCCGCTTGGATCAGATCTTACTTCAAGTTCCTTGATAGTGATGCGCCTGTTCTCACGAATAAACACGTCTGCACGATCAATGTTCGGCTCGGTGATGGATGTTCGCGGCCAACGATCATGCGGTTCATTCTCCATGCGCTCTCTGCCCTCTCTGAAGCACTTATACCACTCAAATACACGGATCCGTGACAGTCACTCTTCCCCACACTGTTGTTGGAGTCTATGGTGAATTTCAATGGACACTGGACGTTTTCTCCAACGAGGAATTTGATCACAATGCGTTGTTCCACGCTCCGCAGTAGCTTCTGTTCTCTCATCACTCTAGCAACTTACAGACAGGACTCAACAGGTTCTAACCCTAACAGGAGGGACGGTGGAGGTTGTAGCTTCACTCTTGCAAGGTCGCACAGCTGCTGCGAAGTGCGGCTTGTTTACAAAAAAAGTCAGTCCTGGTGATATTTGAACCACCTTGTAAATGTGCTAATGTGGTTACATCTGTTTCCATTGAAAATATAAGTGAAATATGGTGAAGTTATAGATGGGGAAGAACTAGTGAGCTCTAGTAGTAACACCTAAAATCTCATTGTCATTTAAATCCTTCCATCTTAATTTTCTCTTAATACATCTTAGTTCTGCATATTTGTCTTATCACTTGTGTTTATAAATGCGCCAGAAGAAAATGTATGGTTAAAATTACTTTGAAATAATAGCAATGAGTTACACAGAATAAACCAACCGTGAAACAATGCTAAAATATACTTTTTAACTCATACTTAATATTTTTTTGATTCAAGGTTTTCAGTAATTTCATCTTGAATTTTTGTCTTCCCAAGTGATTAGTTTTGGTGTTAAATTTCCTCCATTTAATATTTTCTTCAGTTTAGTACTAAATCCACTGCTTCTCAGCAACATATTGAATCGTAGTTCCACTGCTTTCCGAAACAAATATAAAGTAACTGTTGCTGAACAAAATAGTTCTACCTGCTTATTGTTATCCAATTTCTGGTTTTGAGCTTCTGCGTTTTTAACATAATTTTAAATTCAGAGCTCTCCTATGTTTGGTAAACAGTTTGTATTAATTTCATTATGCCTGTTGTAGTAAGTTCCTTGAACCTGAATGAAATGTCAGAAAAACCTTCTGTTTTAATTGGTTCCTAGGGTGAACTGCTATAATGTACTCGGCTCCCAGACTCCGTTTGGTGGATTCAAGATGTCAGGAAATGGACGTGAGTTGGGAGAATATGGATTGGAGGCTTACACTGAAGTGAAGAGTGTCATTGTCAAGATTCCACAGAAAAACAGTTAAACATTGAAATTTACAATGATTAAATACAATTAAATTGATAAACAAATGCTGCAGTTAGTGCCATATTCAGTATAATCAAATGCATCAAATTTGTATTTCATGCCATACTTCATATACATTGACATTATAAGGTTTCATACTTCTGCTAGGAGCACAGCTGTCTGTATGGCAGAACATGGAACTTGTACTGATGTAAGTTTTGTGGAAAGAAATATGAATTTCTGCCATGTTCAGGATGTGTGTAAGTATCCCAACATTTGTTACTGTTGTAAAATACGCTCAAATCAACATATCTCATATTTCTTCTCAGTAAAAAGAAAATACCAGTATATTGATAACAAAATGTAATGTGATGTCCTTTTTGTACGTTTTATGTGGTTCTTGAGGGTTTTGTAAGAAGATGGAGCACAGAAGTGATAGACAGTCTTTACAGGAGCAAAATGTCACGTACTGACTAGAAGGACATGCTAAAGGGAAGTAATGTTTATCTATATTACTTAATAATATTAATTGCAAATAACAAAGAGCAGAAGTTGAATGTAATATTTTGACAAATACAGTATGTTTTAGCAATACAGAACAGCTTCAGCTTAGCTCAAACATATCTCAGGGTGCTTGAAACCAGTCAATAAAAAATATTCTAAAGATTATTTTCTAAGGTTATTTAGTTGAATGATGTTAAATATTTGTATAACAAGAAGTGTATGTTTGAAAAATAAATCTCTGTAATAGAAAATAAAATTGTATCATTGATGTGAAAGTTTTAAGCAATTAAAATATGAGCTATTTGCAAGACAGCCATTATAGAAATTAAATTCCTGATTTAAATATCGCCTAAACAATAAACTACTTATGTCATAGGCTAACATGTTTCCTTCATTAACATTTTTACAACTTTTAATTTGAAATGTAAACAATATAGCAATGTTACCACATCTGCTTATCCCATTCCTGTGATCATTACGAGTCAGCTGAAAATACTGTAATAGTGGCCTCTGTAGTCTAGGGGTAACATTCCCACCTCGCGACTTGTGATACGCGGGTTCAAACCCGGCGGAGGTCGTGGAATTTTTAAGGGCGGAAAAATTCAGGGAAGAAGTCCTCCGGGAGGGACTTTAAGCTGTGGGTCCCGTGTCGTAGCTTTATGGCATGTAAAAGAACCTCATGTCTCAAGGAGGCCTCTGAGCCAAATTATCGGACATTTATCGCCCAACAAGAGTCTCTAACGCCTCTTGTAGATGGGGGAAGCATCAGGTATCGCTGAGCCAGTAGAGGCCGGACTCGCTGGCTGAGTCGGGGCTGATGGCATGCACCAATACCGGTAGGGTGTAGAGACTGGTAGAATATCAAAGGGAGATGTACAATAGACTACTAGTCGCGGTGCATGGGGAAACCCACNCATATCAGATTACACAATATGTGAATGTTACACTCTATTGTATGACTTTCTTCTTTTAAAAACTTAAGTTCTAAATTTTTAAGACCAATGAAGTGCAGTCAAAGTTTTGTAGTAAGTTCTGTTTTTGAAAATGAAGATTAATATTGATACACCATTGTAGTCCATTTTATAAGAAGCCCTTGTTTCAGTATCATTTTTCTGTCCCTTCCTTTTGTTGCCATATATTCATTCATAGGATTTCAAATTAAAATTAGTGGATCAGCTTGCTAACTTGAATTTTTATTCAGTGTGCAGACTTTACTGGGCTGGTACACACACACACACAGTCTGTTTGAAATGTCAGGGTAAATATACTATTGCTTTATTCTGAAATTCCATTCATATGTAATGAAGTCTGTTAGTTTAGTTACCTCCACATGAATAAAGAGACCAGATAGATACATGGCAATATATAAGTTAGTACAAATTCCCAGCAGTTAGAGATTTCTAATATGAAAGTTGGCGGAACTAATGTTTAGGAGTTGTGTCTTTATAATTGCATGCACATGAGTGAGTGTTAGAACTCACAGGTGTATTCATAATGTCTGGAGTGCAAAATTTCATGTTCCTAGACACAGTGGTTTATCAGTTATTTTCTTGAAATTAAGAAAATGAAATAAAATAGAAAGTCAACCATATCAGAAATTTGTGGCATAACTATATGTATACATTGGCCCATTATTGAAAATAAATCCATTTTGCATGCTTAGTTAGTTAGTTAGTTATTAGAGAGGGTGGGTTTCCCCATGCACTTAGACCTGTATTGGTTCATTGCGCTTCCCTCTATGATTTCTACCAGTCTCTATATCCAACCGGTACTGGTGCTTACCATCAGTCCCGCCCAGCCAGCGAGACCGGCTCTCTACTGGCTGGGAAGAATTCTTAATGGCTCCCCCCCTCACCCAGGGGCTG